TTTATCATGTTTATAACTGTTCTTTTGAGTTCCATGTCCTGCATTATCTCAAGGGGGATCTCACTTCACTCCTCTAGAGGACTACTGGTATTTGTTGGGGATATGTTATTTTGGTTTTTCATGTTATTATTTTTTCCTCTGTGATTTTGACGTGTGAATTTCTTTTGTAGTTTCTGATTCTTGTGTGAGACTCAGGCCTTCAAGTTTAGGTCTACTTCTTTTTGTGAACTTTATGTGTCTTTACAGTTTACTTTTTGGGCATGAAAAGCTGGTTCATCTAAGCCTCTGGTTCTCTCTTTTGATTTTATATTGGAGTGGCCAGATTGATTTTTGTTTTCAGGAGTTCCCACAGAGGCCCAATTCAGATGAGGGTCAGATGATTTCAGGCTTTCTCCTAAGTCTGGATCCCTCCAGGAACAATTTTGGCCTCAGGAATTTGGGGGTTGGAGTGGCCTGGGAGCCTGGCTCAGAAAAGATGCTGGTCTAGGGCAGCTGGTGGCTGTGCCACCCAGAGATGCAAAGGATTCCTGGGGACTGCACAGAGGAGCTGGGTTGGTCTGGATGCAAAGGATCAGGAAGAGGAAAGGTCAGCTCCTGTATCCCAGAAAGAGGCTGGCAGGTGGTGCTGGCCCAGGGAAGCAGAGGGTGGTGAGGGCGGGGCCAGATCCAGAAGCAGTGATCCTGGGGCCCAGAGAAGACACTACGTTGGTCTGGATGAAAAGGATCAGGAAGCAGTATTGGTTCCCCAGGTGTCTGGGGCCCCAACAGAAGGATTGGGACAGGGTCCAAACTCGGAGGAGAGAACGGCACAGGGACATGGGAGGGTGAATGGGGCTGGGGAAGTCAAGGCCCAGAGGGCGTGGGATATGATCTTTTATATTTCAAACAATAAGCTATAATTTTCTGAGGCTCAATTTGCACAGATTTCTAGGATGGACTCAATTATAAAAACTAGCAAACTCAAACATCTAGCTCACTGTCTATCTCACCAAAATAGATTTCTCTCAGGCTTCTTTCTTAAGGCATTCCATGGGGTCCGTTTGTCCCTATAGTCAGATGAATAATTTGGCTATCGGGCATGAATTTAGTAAGAAGTTAAATTCAGAAGTTGGGTTTTATTTTGTTGCATGGTCTCTTCTTGTTGGTATTTTCTCTTAAAATGTCCAATTATTTTGCTAGCCTTAAGCTTTTATCTTGAGTACTTAAGCCCTTATAAAACTGTTTCCCAAAGCCTTCGGTATGGGCACTGTATTGAAGAATTATAAACCCAGAAATCCAAAATCTAGAAATTCTTATTCAGTTGTTCCTATTTTGTTGTGTTTTCCAGGGTTTAAAAAAAAATTATCCAATATTTAGAATTGCTATATATGGGAGGGTTCTTATAATCTCTCTATACTATACTTCTATCACTATTGGACATCTATAATCAACTTTTTAAAGATCAGGAAATAAGGCTTAAAAAATAAGACTTAGATAGTAACTTAAGTAGCAGATCAAGAAGTTTTAATAATCTAAAGCCTGACATTTCCTTAACATATTCCTAAAATTCCTCTATTACTTACAAAGTTTATTATGCCAATAAATACTTTAATAATATAAAATATGGTATTAGTTGTTTTTTTCCCCATCTACATAGAATTTAAGTAAAACCTGACCTTAATCTGTACTTTAATAATGATCTGCTTTGCAGTGACTAAGATGCTTTATTTAATTAAAGTCAATGGAAAAAAAATCTTTACAAAGTTGTTTCTGATATTATAATTTAGTTTTATAATTTCATATTTCATATTTAGGGAGCAATAAAATAAATTACTTTCTAATAGGCCTACTTAACATTTAGTCCAAAAATAAAATGATGACACACAAAGCTATGCTATAAGGTTCCAATTGTCTTAGAAGTAGAAAATACCTTTTTTAGCATCTGTTCTTGAAGATTTTCAGTCACTTTCGTTAACTCTTCTACTTTTGTTACTGCATCTCTCAGATCTAACTTGGCTTGCCTGAAGAAGAAAATAAATTAATGTAGATTATGTTTGGAGGCCATAAAGAATGAAACGTTAGAGATCCAAATTGAGTAAAATAATTACTAATGCTTATATACCTAAAATGGATCCCTATGGCAAATTCTGAAACATTTTCTTATCACTAATAAAATGCATGTAAAAAGTAATGAAGAAAAATATGGCTGATTTTAGGGTGGTACAAAGAATACTTTATTTGGATAAATTATATTCATTTATTTGTTTATTTTAAAATTTTATTTATTATTTTTATGTGTATTGCCTGCATGTAGGTAAGTGGACCTGTACCATGAAATACCCGCGAAGGTCAGAAGAGGCTGTAAGATCCCTTGGGACTGGAGTTACAGACAGTTGTTAGCTGCCATGTGGGTGCTGGGACTTGAACCTGGGTCTTCTGCAAGAACAATCAATGTTCTTAACCACTGAGCTATCTCTCCAGCCCCTGGATAAATTATGTTTAATATAAAAATAATTCTATGTATTTAATGAAAAAAAACGTGATCAAATGTAGCTATATTATCTTGCATTTTGTTATATTAATCTAAGTTATCAGGAACTATGTAGTTTAAACCCAATTTTCAGTTAGATTAGGATAGATCTGGTGATGTCTGAATGTCTGGCATTGACTCTTAGCAAACACTTGCTTTGTTTACTGCTGATTTTCACCATTATCAGCAGACAGTCCACTATATGCCTAAAAGGGCAAAACAAAACAAAACAACAACAAAAAACAAAAAAACAACAAAAAAACCCCAACCCCAAAACCAAACGAAACAAAAAACCCAAACCAAAGCAAAAAAACCCAAACCAAACCAACTAACCAACTAACCAACCAACCAACCAACCAACCAACCAACCAACCAACCAACCAAATAACAACAACAACAACAACAACAGCAAAAGAAAAACCCCCCAAACCCCCTGTTCCCACCTAGGGAGCTACTGGCAATTAATGGCTGCTGAGGAGGGGAATTCATTTTTCTTCAGCGGTATAACTACTGTAAGTTGCCCATCATCCAGAAAATAACCATACACACTCAGGCACTCTTAATTTAAACTCATACAACCCAGACAGCTTCATCACTGTAACGACAAGTATCAGAAAGACAAGGCTGGAGAGATGGCTCAGCAGTTAAGAGCAACTGGCTGTTCTTACAGAGGACAGGGGCTCAATTCCCAGCATCTACATGGCAGTTCACAACTATCTGTAACTCCAGTTGCAGGGGGATCCAACGCATTTTTCTGGCTTCCTTGGCTACCAGGTACAAATGTGGTGCACATACATACATGCAGGCAAATACACAGACACAGACAGACAGACACGACACCCACACACATACACATCTCATTAAAAAAAATTATATCAAGGTAGGATGTTCCATGTCCTGGTGTCTTCCTCCATCTCTTTCTTTAAAGATTTGAAATTTTCACTGTAGAGATCTTTAATGTCTTTGGTTAGCTTTGTATCTAAATATTTTAGTTTTTGGAGGATATTGTGAATGGGAGGGTTTCATTGAATGCTTTTTCTGATTACTTGTGATATCTCTAGACAAATGAAATTTCTTATTGTATCTTAAATATGGATCCTTATATTTACATACAAGTATACAGTACACGACCCACCAAGTAAGCTTCTTTTTGCAACAGAAAGAGGCTACTACAGAGTTCTACAACTAGTCACACACAGAAAATATACATCTGAGAGATGCCCACCCCTAGGTGACAGATCTACAATGCAACCTCTACACCTAAGGCATATGGGACATAGTGGAAGAGGGGGCAGAGAGAATACTAGTGTATCCCTCAACTCTCACTAGTGAAGCTTCCTTACATAATAGAGTGTAATGCATACAGAAGGCCACAACTGGCTATGTTTTAGGGAATAAGAGACTACATAGTATGTATCCTTGGATAGGACTTCTATATTAAACCTCACTCACCCACAGTTCAGGAACTATTGTGGAAAAGGGGTTAGAAAGATTCTAAGATGTTGGCCCACAAACATACTGAAACAGACCTTCAGGCCACTGAACACTTGTTTATGTGAAGTTGTGGCAGTGGTGGCATCAAGCGAAAGACCCACGCCAACTCAATCAGACAAGGGCCCAGAGTGGTGCAAGGGAAATGGGTGGTGGGCTAGTCCTAGCCTGAGAACTGTTCGAGACTGATTACTGCTAGGTGAGGGAGAGAAGACCTTCCTTAAGATCTCTAGATAGGCTGAATAGACTCCAGTGGATGAACCTGCACCAAAGGATATCTGGGTGTAAAATGCCTGACTGGACAGGACTTAACATAATTGGCAGAATACATGAGGCCTGGTGGGGAGGGGGAGGGTGTGGATGGGGAGGAGGGTCTTAATTTGATTAAGAACTGTTACGTGAAATGTACAAAAGCTCAATAAAAATATTTTCAAAAATAAAAAATTCTAGCAAAACCAAAACTATATAGTATGATGAGGTATCAATTTGACTTGATTAAGAATTGTCTTGGTGTCCCTCTCCTCCCAAGGCTTAGAGATCATTGAAGAAGAAGAGGCAGAAAGATTGTATGAGTCAGAGGAGGTAAATGAATACAAAGAAACTGTGTTGTCTGGACACCACAGGACAGCTGCACATATGAACCCACAGTATGTATTTACATGCACAATATCTGTGAAGTACAAAACTGATAGGTGCCCAGCTTGGAAGGGGGAGACAGGCAGGAAGCTCCAGCTCTAGCTGAAGATCTATTAGCAACTGATACATTCTGGAAAGGGAGAGTCAATTCCCCTTATGAGTGTGGTGGCTGGCAGACTGACCAGACTTCAAAGATAGACCTACACTTAGGAAACACAGATGAGATTCTAGGCTGTAATAAGAGAAGGAAGGGTCTATGATAAAAATATATTGTATAAAATTCTTAAATTAATAAAAACATTTAAAAATATTTTTGAAATTTATTTTTGTTTTATGTGTATGAGTATGTTGCCTGAAGGTATGTAAGTGCACCTGAGTTGTACAATACCTGCAGAGGTCAGAAGAGGGTACTGGATATCCTGGAACTAGAGTTACAGATGATTATTAGCTCCATGTGAGTGCTGGGAACCAAATCTGGGTTGTCTGCAAGAGCAGCCAGTGTTATTAACCGTAGAGCCATCTCTTCAGCCCAATAAACATATTTTAAAAAAGGAATTGCCACAGATATTAGTAAAGCAAACCTCTGGGTATGTCTGTGAATTCCTTTCCAGAGAAATTAAGAGTATGAAAGCTCTGAAAAAAAAAAATCAATGAATCCTTGATGGACTCCTCATAAGATGGCATTATTGAGAGTGGTGAAAGGTAGGAGGTGGGAAGTAACTGCGAGAAACAGGTCACTGGGGACATGTCCTTAGAACGCAGAAAATTTTCTAGGTCTGATGATGGTTATTAATTACTAAGATGGAAAGTCCTCCATCTTAATGCAACATACCAGTTCCACTTTTATCAGTGTTATGTATTTTGAGTCTATAAATAAGATCATTTTTATTTGTATGTATGTAGGATGTGTGTGTGTGTGTGTGTGTGTGTGTGTGTGTGTGTGTGCATGCTCATGTGTGTGAGTACATGTATAGAGGCCTGAGGCCAACTTTGGGCATTGTTCCCCAGGTGCCACCCACCTTGTTTTGAGACAGAGTTTCTCACTTGGCTTGGAACTCTCCAATTAGGTCAAACTGGCTATCCAGTGAGCTTCAGGGATCCACCTACCTTGCCTCCTTAGTACTCGGATTATGATCATGTAACACCATGCCTTGCTGTTTTATGTCGGTCCTAAGGATGGAACTCAGGTCATCCTCATGCCAGATAACAAGCATATTAGTGACTGAGCAACCTTCCCAATCTCCTAATTAAAATTAATTTTTTTCAGAGGCAAGTCATCTGCTATCAAAAATGACAAAGTTTAGCTGAGTAAGGTGGTGTGTACATGTAATCCCAGGATATAGAAGGCTGAGATCGGAGGACCAAAAGTTTGGGACCAGCATCGACTACACACTGAATTCTAGATCAACCTAGGATTGCCAAGGGAGACAGACCCTGGCAAAAACAAAAACAAAAACAAACAATAACAAAACCTCAAGTAAATCACGGACCTTTTAATTGGAGCCTGAAGGTCACAAAGTGATCAACACCAAATACATGTATTTGGGAATTATTATGGATATTAAAGGAGCTGGACATAATAGACATAAGGAAAGAGGGGAAACTGAGTAACAGGGATAAAAATTTAAGAATTAATCTATTTTCAGTAGGGAGGATGAGGAAATAGGGAAGGCAAAGGAAGCTGAAAAACGGACCTAAAGGTCAGAATATCAGGCACAAATATAAAATACTTGGCAGAGAAAATTCCAGAGTGACTACAGTAGAGATTATTCAAGACAATTTCAAAGGATGGAAGGAGAAAAAAATAAAATCTGAGGAACCATCAGCAAGGTCTATACATATGAGGCTTAAAAGAGGTCTGCAAACAAGAATTAAACTTTTAAGAATGCAAGACTTATTTATGGAACAAGACGTAAGAGATATTTTGGAGTTTCAACCTAGACAGATTAGATGCTAAAGGAAAAAGGAAGTAGTCAAAGGCAGTGTTATAGTAAGTACAATGCAACACTGTAAGAAGGATCATTTTATTTCTAAGACAGAGATGGAGAAAACTGAAGTTCATGTAATTAAGCAACCTGCCTAAGACAATCAGTAAACAGTTGGTACTGACTGAATGTATATGTCTGCACACAATCCATATTTTGAAATCCTGGATAAGCCAAACTGCCAAATACCCCCCATTGTAATGGTATGAGAAAGTGGTACCTTTGGGAAGGTGATTAGATTGTGACTGTAGAGACTTAAAAAATGGGATCAGTGACTTATAAGGTATTTTGTTATACCAGCGGAAATGGACTAAGACAATACAGGGCTAGAATATACAATGAGGGCCAAGTTCAAAATCTGTGCTTTTTACACATCATA